TCCACAACCGGCATAAAAAGCCAGACTACGGTTTGCAACTGCACATGGGGACAAAGATCGTACTTTTTGGAGAAATGTCCTCTGGTCTGATGAAACAAAAATAGAACTGTTTGGCCATAATGACCATCGTTATGTTTGGAGGAAAAAGGGGGTGACTTGCAAGCCGAAGAACACCATCCCAACCGTGAAGCATGGGGGTGGCAGCATCATGCTGTGGGGGTGCTTTGCTGCAGGAGGGACTGGTGCACTTCACAAAATAGATGGCATCATGAGGAAGGACAATTATGTGGATATATTGAAGCAACATCTCAAGACATCAGTCAGGAAGTTGAAGCTTGGTCGCAAATGGGTCTTCCAAATGGACAATGACCCCAAGCATACTTCCAACGTTGTGTCAAAATGGCTTAAGGACAACAAAGTCAAGGTATTGGAGTGGCCATCACAAAGCTCAATCCTATAGAAAATGTGTGGGCAGAACTGAAAAAGCGTGTGCGAGCAAGGAGGCCCACAAACCTGACTCAGTTACACCAGCTCTGTCAGGAGGAATGGGTCAAAATTCACCCAACTTATTGTGGGAAGCTTGTGGAAGGCTACCCGACACATTTGACCCAAGTTAAACAATTTAAAGGCAATGCTACCAAATACTAATTGAGTGTATGTAAACTTCTGACCCACAGGGAATGTGATGAAAGAAATAAAAGCTGAAATAAATCATTCTCTCTACTATTATTCTGACATTTCACATTCTTAAAATAACGTGGTGATCCTAACTGACCTAAAACAGGGAAGTTTTACTAGGATTAAATGTCAGGAATTGTGAAAAACCTAGTATAAATGTATTTGCCTAAGGTGTATGTAAACGTCCGACTTCAACTGTATTTGCACACCAACAGATCTATCCCATAGAATACAGACATTTTCCAAGTAAATACTAGGCTATTCTTATATTATTTTATACTTGAGAACTTGAGCTGGCTCATACGCAAAGTTAAAGCTGCTACACCTTGAATTTCTCTGAATTTCTCTCCTATGCGGAAGCTAGCTGAATTGCAACAGCACTAGGAAATCAACAGGCGAATATCACAGCCGATCACAATACTGGCGGGTAATACAGGGGATCATGCATGCAACAAGGGGATTGGGCAACGGGGTATATATCTCCATGTGGTCAAAATATATACTACATGAATAGTATCATATCTCTAACTCTCTATGCCCATCATCATCATCATCATCATGGTTGTTTAAGAGCTGAAATCAGGATGGACTGACAGAAGCTCATTTACCCCCACCCCAAATGAAATCTGTCAAAATCATGTGTAGAGGAATAAGCACATTTACGTTTTTTGTATTAAATACACAAGTCAGTTTGCATCAGTTGGCTAATTCAACGTCAAACTACTGAATAATGTTAAACATTCAAGTATTTTTCTTTATCAAAGAGAATGTTGACAGAACAACTAAGGGTTAGGCTTAGATAAGACTCATGCAGCCATTAAATGTTTAATAAAGTAATAGAAGTTAGAAAATTGTAAAAAGTAGGCAAGTGTTATCAAAAAATAAATACAATGAATCCTTTGTTTCTAATAAAAATTGCATTTCTATTGTTGGGCGTTTGGAGGGAGAGATGGTGTTGATGTGGGCGATCTACAATGTTAAATTAATTAGAATTATAATTGACCAGCTCCAAGAAGGCAACTCTGACCCCTTCAATAGCATCATCTCCCAAGGGACGCTATTGCACCACTTCCCAAGGGAGCTCTATCCTCTATTGGAATGCTATTGATCACTAAACACACCAAAAAATGGGGTGAATTCCCACGTATGCCCATTTCTTTTTACTTGCATTTAAGACTGGCTGCTCTTTTATTGTAAATAAAGCATGAATAATATGTGACATTTGATATTGTTAATGAAAGTTTGATGCTTTCTGGGGAAGTTCATCCATTTTTCCATGTGACCTTCTTTTCACGCTTTCTGTGCTTGTAGTTGATCCCCAAACAGTTTATTTTTTTTTGATTTTGTTTCATTACAAAGAAAAGTGGTTGTCACATTTTATGTCATCACTTGCCATTGACTACAGTGTGAAAATGTGTCTAAAGCATGTTAGGAAACACTCCAAACCAACTCATATTACATCAGAATCCCATTCTGAATGACCTCTGCAAACATTTGTATTTATTTTGTAAACAGCATCATTCAAACATGGATTTATGGCACAGTGGAAAACATGTTTAAAATAAAATGCAGAGGCATCATTCAGAATGGGATTCTGATGTAAAATGAGTTGGTGGAGTGTTTTAGAGTGTTTTCTAATATGCTTTACATTTACATTTTAGTCATTTAGCAGACGCTCTTATCCAGAGAGACATACACTAAGTGTACAAAACATTACCAACACCTGCTCTTTCCATGACATATACTGACCAGGGGAATCCAGGTGAAAGCTATGATCCCTTATTGATGTCACTTGTTAAATCCACTTCAATCAGTGTAGATGAAGGGGAGGAGACAGGTTAAAGAAGGATTTTTAAGCCTTGAGGCAATTGAGACATGGATTGTGTATGTGTGCCATTCAGAGGATGAATGGGCAAGACAAAAGATTTAAGTGTGTTGAACGGTTGTATGGTAGTAGGTGCCAGCAGGCGCACCAGTTTTTCACGCTCAACAGTTTCTCGTGTGTATCAAGAATGGTCCACCACCTAAAGGACATCCAGCCAACTTGACACAACTGTGGGAAGTACTAGAGTCAACATGGACCAGCATCCCTATGGAACGCTTGACACCTTGTAGAGTCCATGCCCCGGACAAATTGAGGCCGTTCTGGTGGCAAAAGGGCGTGCACTTCAATATTAGGAAGGTGTTCTTAATGTTTTGTACACTGTATTTGCATATTGCATTATAATCAGTGGCAAGTGATGACTCAGCAAAATGTGACAACCAATTTTCTCTGTAAGGAAACAAAATGTTTTTAAAAAAACACAGTTTGGGGGATAAACTAAGAAGCACAGAAAGAATGAAAATAAGGCCACATGTAAAAATTGTGAACTTCCCCTTTAACTCCCTCCATATACAAACCTAACATAGCCTATAGGCATGCCTAGTTATAGCAGCTGCTGTTGAAATCATGGTCATATAAAAATAGGAAGGACTCAGTAAACTCCCTCTGGGGCGCGCGGGTGGGTGTGTTCTCGAGCTCTGTCCAGCTTCTCGTCTGTTTACACCAGTCCATGCTCACTTCTTGGCGGCCTGCGCGTGTGCGCCACCTCACCTCCGGAGATTTGGCGGAGCGGCCCAATGCAGGACCCGGCCTGCCAGTGGGGATTTACTGATTGGCGCTCTGCCCAACCGCAAGCAGTCTAGTTCGCTCGGTTCTCACGACCTCAGCACCACGAAGGCATCTCTGAATTATTAACTCAGACACGCAGGCACAAGAAACAGCCGCGGAGGCCACACACTGCCAACTAGTGTTTCAGTTATGGCTCTGTGCAGAAGCAGCCTTTTATACATTGCTGACTGGAGGTTTCAGAATACCATTTTTAGAGTCATTATCAGGGCACCGAAGGAAAAAGTAAAAAAAGAAACGACACAAATCAACAACATACAAAGCTGATTATTGTTGTCATCTATAGTTAAATTGTCTAACAACAAATTACAACTTCTCATTATACGACTTGGAGAAGCTATCAGGGAACATTTTAAGCACGATGAGTTTAACTAATAGCAATTTATAAATTGGCTAAATAGGTGTTGTAATAATGTTATTATAGGCTATATTTAAAAACTGTTTATGTGCCTTCAGGACCATTTTTTTGTGTCCAACAAAGTGCACGCTGCACACATTCATTCCTTTATGTACATAATTTTGGTCTGTGTGCACTGTATGTGTACTTGCACTGGCATGAGTTGACTACAGGGGGAACCTTTCTGACCAGCGGTCACAAGGGTGTAACCTAATCCCAAGTAAAGGGGGGCCCTCTGACTGCAAGTGGCTGACACACGGCAAGCATCACGCCGCCTGCCACAGCAACACATCCCACAGTTCCGGAGCGCACTCACTGGAAAGATACGTTTACAGCCAGGGATAACATAGAGAGAGGGGGAGAGGGAGTTCTGATGGAGAGGGAGAGAGGGAGGGAGAGCGAGAGAAAGCGAGAGAGAGAGAGGGAAGGGGTGATTGGATTGAGAGATTAAGTTATACCCTACTTTGTTTTATTCATAAATAATTTGGAACATAAACTCAGTACTTCAAAGGACATTTCTAATTTAAAATGTATTTAATCAATTCAAAGTCATTGGGTCCAGGAGAACAGCTTTGATCAATTCCACTATCCCATAAAATGTACCTGCCAAGGCACGAAACTCCCCACGTTCCCTCATTTTCCTTCTATTCAGATATGCCTTGGATAGAACTGAACAATCGGTTGCACAAAAGGAAGCAAGGATCCTTCCATACTCTCCTTTCAGTGAAGCAATCTGTTAGTGACATTAACCCCAAAGCGCATTTCCCAGGCTCATGAATAGGGTTTAAGACTTCTTAAAGATCCCGCTGCATACAGGATGAGACCCCTTTCAAACGTTTAATTACCTTTTTGCAAAAGAAAAAATACACCCCTGCCATTGCCTTTTCAACCCATTCTGCATTTTAGAGGACACCGGTATGACTAACTTCCCGCCAAACTTGAGGATTTTTTTAAAAACGTTTTTAAGATCCTATCTCACTAGGAATTCTGATTGCAGGTTAGTTTTTGGGCTATAATAGAACTACTAATTATTAGTAGGCCCTATAAACCTGCTCTGATATGAGCCTAGACCCCTGAAAAAAATGTGGCCCATGTATGACTTTCAAATGGCTATTTTAACTTTTACACACAAGACTAAACAAGAAGATACTTAATATTAACTTTTACACACAGCCTTATAGAAACCAAAATATATCCTAAGCCTATATAACTCTGCTCTAAGTGTGTTATAGAAGTGATATGGAAGTAAAGACAAAATTATTAATTTCTGAATTATTCAAACTGATTTATTAGGTCAATGGGCCATTGCCCAACTTAAATTTCCAAACATAAAACGACAAACAATATAAAAACACACAGCTTTGGTATAACAATCAATATCAACTTTGTACAAAACTAAATCGTTCCATAAAAAGTACTTCATCACAAACATTTGAATAAATCTTCCATTGCATGGACACAATATTTATCACCAACATCCAAATGTTGGAATCAGCCAATAAATAAACAAACTTTTACCATGTCCAACAAAGGAAATTATGTCCCCTAGAACGGAACTATTTACTTCATAAAAATAACCTTCATTATTGTAGTGTCCATTTCAACCAAACTACCAGGGTCGCCAAACAGGCTCAGTGCTCTCCGAACCAGTGCAGACACCGACAGGGCTGACGGCCTGAGGCACACCGATGAATGATGTCATCCCATGTACAGGGGATCCCACTATTGGCGCAGAGCTGCCGTGGACGGGGCTGGCGTTGACTGTCAGAGGCACACCTGCGTTAGCATACAGAGGGATGACTGGTGTTGATGCTGAGGCGAAAGCAGGGTTGGGAATCAGGAAAGCAAACTGTCCATCGGTGGCGGGCACAAGCTGGAACCCGCCGAAGACTTTAGGTGACATGGCTTCGGTGGGGCTGAGTTTGGAACCCATAGAGGCACTGTTGGGCAAGGTAGAGGGTAGCTGCACGTGAAGGGGCTGCGCGAGGTGAGCCTGTTGAGTTGGGGTTGGCTGGGGGTAGTTCATGGCGATCAACTGCCCTAAGCAGCCAGACAGGTGGTTGAGAAGCCGCGACCTCACCTCCGTGTTCACCCCCTCGCTGGTTGACAAGAAGCGAGTGACCTCGTTCATGCATTCGTTGAATCCCGCCCGGTATTTACTGAGGACGGTAGTGTCTGCTGACAGCGCTGCGGAGACAAGAGAGAACATTAGAAATCGTGTATATTCGATGGAAATATATAACAATTCTAAATAAAGTGTTGGGCAGATGTTGTCAAATTAGATATTTGCAATTTAATTTACCAGTCATCTGCACACGCTGTAAATTTCGTAAATGCTTCACTGTCATCTCCAGAATATCGGCTTTCTCCAATTTTGAATGTCTTGAACTCTGTGGATAACAACATGGCAAAAGGTCAAGAGTGTGCATTGATACAAAATTAAATGCCAGAAAAAATGAACATAACAGTGATTTTTAATTGTTAAATCACTTAGACTTACATCTTTTTTAAGTGCATCGAGGATGAGTGTCTTGAGTTGGCCAAGGCTTTCGTTTATCCTCGCTCTCCGACGTTTCTCCATGATGGGCTTTGAGGACTGCAAAATAAATGCTTTATATTAATTGCATGTTCATTGATAGGTCCGAGTGTAAGCCTTTCTTTTATCCCACAAGTAAAATGTGGTTAGCCTACTACAGTACATTTTAATTAGCAACAACGTTAGCCCAGGTGGCGTATGCTGAATATATCAGATTCATTTTAAATCCATCGGCAGTTATAGAAGTTTAGCCTACCTTTCTATGCTCGCTGGCATTCTTGGGTTTGTCTGGAGTATGGGATCCATTTGCAGGGGCACCAGCAATAGGGGATGCCGTTTGCTTCTCCATGGTTTCGGCTGGCATTTTGGATTAAATTATTGAAAAGGTATATCCTTTTGGAGACGTTGGAAAAATATGCAAAATCACAGCGCCTTTATGTTTAGATCAAATCGTAACCAGTGTGAAAGATATCCTACGATAGTCACGCAGAAGTGAGCAAGTCCCACTGATCAGCTATATCACTTGTTATCACCGAACTGTCATCGGAGTATAAGAACGTGCGTTGGTTCAGTCTCCGTTGGGCAGGTCGAGTCTGCTCTACAGCCGACACACGCCAGCGGTACTTATAGGTGGTTCGCATGCTCCCAGTTCGTGTGAAACCCTCTCTGCATTCTTTCCCACACTCGTCTCAGCCAATGGGCGTGCGGACTCACCCATTGGGCGCGGGGCAGACCGCTGATTGGACAACACCCCCGCGGGCTGTCAGTCACGCGCTGCTCAATCAGCCCTGGAGGGACAAACAACAAAGCGGCGAGTGCAGTCGGTCTGGCTGTGAAGTGATAAGGGGAATTGGGGAAATGCGCTGGCGGGTTGCTTCCAACTTTTTCATACCCTTCAAGAATGTATGCTTTTTGTGTTCGCAAAGATTCTCGATGCTTTGAGATACTATATCACTACAAAGCTTCACCATGCTTTTAATATTATGTTGCTATAAATAACCTAAAATCATGTGTTTTCTTCATATCAGTCCGAGTTTTGAATTTTTCATTTCAATTATTTTTTTAATAGTCTATATCCCAAATGTCGAAAATAACGTTTTTTTTTTTCAGTGGTTGAAGGTTAGAATATAGCCTACATTCAAACCAGTGTATGTGGGCTTTATTCTAAAGCACCCAATAAATACATTTTTAGCCTACTATTTTAAATGTTCAAGTAATTTTACGCAAATATGCGTAAAATGCCTTTGTATTTTGATAAACGTAAGGGGACATTGTAATAACTCTACCTTAATACTTCAATGATATAGTTTAACACTTCAGTATAGCTATGCAATTCCTTGTTTTAACAACCAGTTCATATATATATATTTATCAGCAGCTAATCCAGAGATTCAGTTGCGCCTCTAAGGAGAAAAACAGCTGTAATGACACGCGAGACGGTTTGGAGCAGCACGCAGTAAACCAATGGCAGGCGGCCACTTTATGCAAATCTAACTGAGCTAGGTCTTATTGGCTGTGTGAACATCCATGTGTCAATCATTCCAGCGCGGGAGCTGTGAACGGGCGGGGGAAGAGCGATGCGACATCTGTCCGCGTGCCAGTCGCACTGTGTGCGCCTGCTCCGTGCACTTCAGCCTCCACTGAGCACGTGCCGAAACTGACTTCCCTGATTAAAGCCTAGAGGGAGAGGGACTTTTCTCGCAAACTCGTTCATTTCTCTACGGAGAATGGAAGCATTTTCTCCCAGTCTTCTGGCACGTAGATTATAAAAACTATGGTATGTCTTATTCTCATATCTATCCATATAGACCAACTGGTCATTAGTTGGTCAAAGGTAATGCAACAGAAAACATCTTTATATGGAAACATTTAAAATTAACAGGATGATAAGGCCATGCGTTATATAGTTTTAAATTCAAATATAGCATACACTTAAAACGATAGGCCATTACAAAATGTTGCAACACTTGCGTATTACTTTTTAAGATGTAAAATGTTGGTAATCCGTTGAAGTGTAAATTAGTTTTGTGCCAGGGTACGGAAGATCCTATATGAAAGCTGAGAAGTTGTCTGATAACTCAATTTCGGACATCTATACCTAATGTAGGCTACAACAGTAGCCTAGCCTATATTATTGCAATTTCAGTATGCCATTAGGCTACAATACAATGCACAACACATTGAAAGCAGAAATATAATAACATACAATTATGTCATGTAATAGCCTAACATAATAGCATACGTAATATAACTTTTGCGATTGACTAGGAGAATGGGATGAGAGAGCCTGAGTTAAGGAAAAGGGCGCCATCTATTGGAATATGTCTTCAGACTTCTCACGTCCAGAACAGTCAGCTATGTGCCTTCTACCAAAGGCGTTCATCGGTTTACCTCTCAAAAGTAGAGTGTACTGAAATATCAACGCCTAATCATGGATGATTGTTAAAAAAAAAACACATAATTCTCATGCCAAATGTTTCATAGCTGGGGAGGACAGCATCTTTGTGTGCATTCGATGCTTATTGGTTACATTGTGAATGAATCGAGAAGTGACGGCAAGACGGAAGAAAGTAGCCTATTTGATGTGGACAAGTAAGCTTATCACTTGTCTCCAGTTCATGTACATGCTCAGAGAGGATGTGTTTTTGCTTAAATTGGCCACAAGGTGGCACAGTGTAGCCAACTTCACTTGTTGAATCATTGAAATTAAATTGTTTAAAGTTAAGAGCTTTGTCTTCTGCTGCACTGGAATATGTTTATAATTGCTTTTGTTAAAAGTCAATATGACATGACTGAACATTTTAATTAAGGAAAAAGTCATGTATGCTTTATCATGGCAGAATGTACAGAATCAGCCATTAATCATAAAAAATGTAACAATCAATCAATTTTCTCAACTATCACTTAAAATAGAAACACACACTGTAGTACTTCAATCGAATGAAGAAACAGCTTCATATCTAACAGATAGTAGACCATATGTGTGGTTTTAACATTATTTAGTTGCAGGATAGTACCTTTAGGAAGAGAAAAATACATGGAACAGAAAAAAAGGAGATGGCTCAAAGAATGAATGGCACATCGCCACATTGAAGTCCAGGTCACAATGGATGTATTACAACTTGTGAGGAGTATATCTATCTATCTATCTATCTATCTATCTATCTATCTAGAGATATATATCTATAGAGAGAGAGAGATATATACACTACATTGACAAAAATATGTGGACACCTGCTAAAATCATGGGCATTAATATGGAGTTCATCCCCCTTTGCTGCTATAACAGCCTCCACTCTTCTGGGAAGGCTTTCCACTAGATGTTGGACTATTGCTGCGGGGACTTGCTTCCATTCAGCCACAAGAGCATTAGTGAGGTCAGGCACTGATGTTGGGCGATTAGGCCTTGCTCGCAGTTGGCATTCCAATTCATCCCAAAGGTGTTCGATGGGGTTGAGGTCAGGGCTCTGTGCAGGCCAGTCAAGTTCTTCCACACCGATCTTGACAAACCATTTCTGTATGGACCTCGCTTTGTGCACAGGGGCATTGTCATGCTGAAACAGGAAAGGGCCTTCCCCAAACTGTTGCCACAAAGCTGGAAGCACAGAATCGTCTTGAATGTCATTGTATGCTGTAGCGTTAAGATTTCCCTTCACTGGAACTAAGGGGCTTAATCCGAACCATGAAAAACAGCCCCAGACCATTATTCCTCCTCCACCAAACCAAACTTTATAGTTGGCCCTATGCATTTGGGCAGTTAGCGTTCTCCTGGCATCTGCCAAACCCAGATTTGTCAGTCGGACTGCCAGATGGTGAAGCGTGATTTATCACTCCAGAGAACACGTTTTCACTGCTCCAGAGTCCAATGGCGGCGAGCTTTACACCACTCCAGCCGACGCTTGGCATTGTGTATGGTGATCATCTTAGGCTTGTGTGCGGCTGCTCGGCCATGGAAACCCATTTCATGAAGCTCCCGACAAACAGTTATTGTGCTGACGTTGCTTTCAGAGGCAGTTTGCTTTTTAGTGAGTGTTGCAACCGAGGACAGACGATATTTTGCGCTACACACTTCAGTACTTGGTGGTCCCGTTCTGTGAGTTTGTGTGGCCTACCACTTCGCGGCTGAGCCGTTGTTGCTCCTAGACGTTCCACTTCACAATAACAGCACTTACAGTTGACCCGGACAGCTCTAGCAGGGCAGAAATTTGACAAACTGACTTGTTGGAAAGGTGGCATCCTATGACGGTGCCACATTGAAAGTCACTGAGCTCTTCAGTACGGGCCATTCTACTACCAATGTTTGTCTATGGAGATTGCATGGCGGTGTGCTCAATTTTATACACCTCTCAGGCTAAAATAGACTAATTCGAAGTGTCCACATTATCTTGGCCATATAGAGTGTGTGTGTGTGTGTGTGTGTGTGTGTGTGTGTGTGTGTGTGTATATATATATATATATATATATATATATATATACACACACACACACACACACATATACATACACACACACACACTGAACAAAAATATAAACGCAACATGCAACAATTTCAAAGATTTTACTGAGTTACAGTTCATAGAAGGAAATTCTGCCTAGGCCCTAGTGGCACATCAGTCATTGTTCAAGAGCTCTAGTCCTGGTGGGTGAGCTCTGACAGAGCATGCTGGACATTTATTTACCCAGGATCCACAAGTCTCAAGGGCCAGCTGTGTGTACTTGAGCTCACGTTTACTTTATTTGCTTTGGGATTGGGGCAAATGATGTAGGCCTGAATTCTATGGGGTTGGCAGACCACTGCCCACTAGGCCTACTGCAATGGCATGCATTGGCATGTTTAGGGATTTTACTTTTGTGATTGGATGTTGTTGGATGACAACCCATGTTGCTTGTCTGGATTCTGTCTCCAATCTTTTTTTGACTTTCTGACCATTGAAATGACCAAATGATTCAAAGGCTTTTCAATTGACTAAGGAAGGCCAACTTGAAACAAATTAACATCCATTATTCCATCTACATTCCGGCATTTCAAATGTGGAGGTCTTTGTGTTACACAACAAAGAAAACAGGAATCCCCCTCCAACTGGTTGAAACATTCCAAATGCCTCCCATCATTATTACATCCTTGAAACACTTGTCGACACTGACAATACCAGCCGGCGGAATGCAGAGTACAGGAATCACTGTTGAGAACGGATCTAGCCTACATTCATCAAACAAGTTGAGCCAAAAGTACTTGCTGTTTGACTTAAGTTTATGAGGGAGTTAAGAGAACCCGGGGAGATGAAAAGACCAAAGAGTATGGGGCTGTGTTTGCAGATTTAACACAGTCCAGTAGGCTGTTGTCCGAGTTTGGAGCGTGCTCAACAGCTCTTTTTCACCGGCGCCTTGTCGTTGGCTAATGAGCCACCCTCTGCTCTCCCCCAAATCTGTGTTCAGAATGCAGAAAATTTAGTCAATTATATCTGTATTAGCTGATGTTGACCAGCCAATCTGCTCGCACACTCTTTAATTGCAGTGCTCATAATTGTGTTTACTAGGATCAATCCTCAAACTATTGGAGCAACAATGCATGGAAAGGTGACCTGTGCATGTTCTTCCTCCAGATTGCCTACTGTGTC